ATATTCTTATCTGAGTTGATACTTGTTCAGATAGATCAAAAGAGAATCCTCTACTTATTGGAATTTGTCATTATTAAATTTCATTAATTTGGCATCTAAAATAAATTTTTATTCTTTATCACTTTCAGTTGATTTAAATGGTATTTTGTCTTACTAAAGTATTTACAAATTAAATTATATAATGTCTACAATGCACTTTAATGTGATCTGGAATAGGGGAGTGAGTGCAGCTATATAAGAAAGAAGTCTGGCCATCTGTCAATATTGTTTGAAGCTAAATAATGGGGGCTTGTTTTAAAAATTGTTTTTTTGAATTGTTTTGAACTTTTTTATAATAAAATGCAATGTGTATGTATATATGTGGGGGTGGGTACATACATATTCTTATGTGGATCTTAGTGAAATAGTTAAACATGTTTAATGACTGAGTGTAGTGATGTGATTTTAGACAATTTTCATCCAGTATTACATATGTTACTTCATGCAAAGATGATGTGGAGAGTTTATAGTATAACACCTTTTATGCTTCCATTCTGAGCCCATAATGTGGAACACCATTTTTTCAAACTTTTTTTGTTCACTTTTACTTCTTATTAAAGTAGCATTTTAAAAAGTATGAAAGCTACCAATTTTCTAGTAAGTTGTGGATATTCAACATTTTTTAGAAAAGTCTGAAAATTATCCACTCTTGTGGGCCAGAATGAAATTTGGTGAGCTCCAGCAACAGAAAAATAAACCCTAGAGTCAGAGGTACAGGGCTCATGACAACACTCCTCATAAAGAAATTTCTATATTATTTTTTAAGAAGAGGCAAGAAGGCAATTGTAATGCTTTGAATAAGGACATGCCAATTGATTAATCAGAAGATGTGAAGTAAGGTGTAGGACGAGGAAAATTTAGTCAAGAAAAATTAGAGGAAGAAATATCGTCTTGGCAATATCAACTACTGAGGCTGAAAAAGTTCTTGGGAAATGGTCAATGAGGTTCAAGAAAGTGAGAATTTGCTTTCTTCCAACATTTCACAGTACATCCCTTTATAACAGGAACAGATAAATTAAAACAGCCATATATACTATGTATTTGAGAGTTTATCTCTCACACGCTGCTCCCTTATCCTTACCACTCGGAAAAAATATGGTAGTTAAGGTAGTAAATTTATTTCTGGACTGGCTTCAAGAGGGCACAAAAAGAGGCCTTCATAGGAATTTTTGACATTTGAATTCAGATCTACCAAAACATTAAGAATTCCTTTTTAGTAAATGCTGTACCACTTCCTAGGAAAATATTTTTTGCAGCAGCCAAAAGGTATGATTTCTAACAACTTGGGTGATTTCAGAAGGTATCTGGGCCTCCTGGAAGCACTGGAAATATAAGTGAGATGAAGAGGGAGTTGGCGTAATGGATTAAAGAGAGGATGAGGAGAGGGCCAGAGACAATTTTCCTGACTTTATGTTTTTTTATTGAATGAATATGTTTTGAGAAGGAAAGAAGGGGACAGTGGAGGTTGTATTTTCTCTCCCTGCCAATGCACAGGAAAAAATCAGACTGGTATGTATTAACATCTCTTAAGACTAAGAGGAAAACATCCCCTCTGCCCCATCATTATAAATACAGGACTTCAGGTAGTTTAAATAAGGTGTCCACAGTGAGAGTGGGGAATAATTTTAGTAGGCTGTGTACAGTAAAAACTCTATCTATGGGAGAAGTTGGTGTGGAGAGGGTGGCTTATCTTTCCCTTTGAGAACAAAAAGCACCTCTCCAAGGGTGATGAAGGGAGAATAGAGCCTCAGGGGCTTTAGTCCATGTGTGTGAGAACACTAACAAATATCCCCAAGTCTATCAATTGTCTGAAAGAAGTGACTAAATACACATTGACTTCCGGAGGCAGAAAATTTCTATGTAATTACAGAGACAATCTTTATTATTGAAATGTATGTTAAAAGTTATAGTTGTAAATAAATTTCAAGTGTGACATTTTCACAGTATCATGGGATTAAAAACAGAAATGTGACATAAAAATTAAGTTGCACAAGAGTTACTCTGATGTACACTTTCAGACTGAGGTAATATACTCTGTTGGTCCTGAGCAGATGGCTCCTCTTCATGGAATTACCAGATAATTGAATTATCTGCTTAACTGAGTGACAATGAAAATGACTATCAGAATATAATAATAACAATAATTACAATAATAATACCATGGGAATAACCCCATATTTATAATGTCTCCTATTGGAATAATTATGTGCAAATTTTGAAATAAATATTAAACAACTTTATATAGGAAATGCAGAGTTATTTATCTTGAACTGTACATTCCTATGGTCAAAGGCATTTACTCTTTGCATCTCAATTTAATGAAACCCAGGGAATGACAAATGAGAGCTCTGGAGTGAAGAATCCTTAAGAAATAGAAAAGCTCAGAGAAAAGGCTTCTGTCTGGATAGTAGATGGCAGCAGTACTTCTCTCCTAGTTTAGACTTTCTCCTGGAAATTAGATCCAGAATTGGACAGAAGAGAGGGAGAAAAAGAAAGAAAGAAAAAGAAAACAAAATTTAAACAGATCTGTTTATAGCCATGTTTTTATGGATATATTTCTTAAAATTTAGCATTCCCATTATGGAAAACAAAGGATATGGTCATTTCCTATGTGAAATCTGAAAGGCACCCACATTATTTAAAATATTTTTTCTTGCGGCAGCGCCTGTGGCTCAGAGGAGTAGGGCGCCGGCCCCATATGCCAGAGGTGGCAGGTTCAAATCCAGCCCCAGCCAAAAACTGCAAAAAATAAATAAAAATATTTTTTTCTCTCCACACTGTCTGCTTCACTGTATATATTGAAATTCACCTCTGTGAGTTAATGTCTAGTCCTAAAACCTGAAATTCAGATACCCCTGGGTAAGTCAACATTAACATAACTTTAGTTATTAGTACCTTAATGTGAATGCATTGATCAAATTATTGCCTAGAATAGCAAAGGAACAGAACAGAAGACAAATCATATTAATGGGGTTGGAAGAGGGGATAAATTAAATCAGAGCACTGAATAAAAACCCAGAAGGGGGCAGGCTTGGGGGAGAAGGGATGACCTTAGCTCAACAGCATAAGAGCCTTGAACACTCGTCCTTTCCCTGAAGTATATAAACTGGTTGTCTAACAAATAGTCTAAACCCTCAACAATTCCTTTAAGAAAGTCAATAACCTCCTTAAAAAATTATGTTTGAAATGAAAACCATATATTAATAAAATTTTAAAAATGACCTTCCAAAGTGACCTAAGAAATGCAATTCATGTTAATTTAGAAAATAGTAAGCATATATAATACAGACAATACTCTTTTATTACAAGTATCCACAGTTGGTTCATAATTACACAAAGTTATTACTTGAAATCCTATTACAACACTAAATTATAGTCAAATATAAATCCCTTTGAAAAACACAATTTAATACTCACTTAAAACTTATTTAATACATAAAACTATGTACATTACAATGAGTAATTAGGAAATAAATAGATATACTGTTCTAGCAGCACTAAATCAGTTTTCTTACAGGGTATTTTCTTAATATAAAAGTACAAGCTAACTCAACTCTTGTCCAGAGAAAACTTTAGAAAACTTTCTATTCATCTTAGATGATATAACTCATTTTGAATTTAACCATTTTTCCCAAATATATTAGTATCATAACTGTATAACTAAAACAAACCCCACTCTCTAAATATGATAAAGCCCTTTATTGGTTTCTACATTCCTTCCAGATGAGAAGTAGAAAGTGCCTTTATTATATAGCACAAAGATTGTATTTAAGTAGAGAATTATTTAAAGTTAGAGCTTTTTGCTAAAATATGTTCAAAGTATTCTAATGCTTACAACCTCAAATTTAACTATTATTCTGACCCTAGGTCTTTTACCTGCATAATAGTACAAAGCATGTAGCAAGCAAGTCATTGAAAGTTGGGTGCCCAAAGCTGAAAAAATTACTTTTCTCAAAAAGTGAAAGAATTGCCTATCCAACTGCTAGGAAATAGGCTACGAAGGCTTCAGAATGGTATGGCTGGGGTGGAGATGGACCAAAGTCAATGCAGACTCTAAGGTCTATGTGACTGAGTATAGTGATAGGGCAGAATGAGCTACAATGATTTGTGTTAGGTGGCTTGACAGACTAGGACAGGTGGCCCTAGTTTAGATCAAGAAATATAATATGGAGAGGAATTTAAGAGGCTTTCCCAACTTTTCTTCATCTTTCCTCTCTGACATAAGCTTAGTGATTTATTAGTACACTACTCTTCCATAGGCTTAGAAATTACAGTAACTTGTTAGAGTTACTTCACTGTTACTCTAGAGGGATGGTTAAAACTACCTCTACTAGGTAGGCCTATACATCTCCATGGGAAAAAATAGTTTAAGAACTGTGATTGTCACCTATTTACTTTCTCCTGGGCCTAGAAGTCATTTGGGTCACATTGCATGGACTTTGGAAAACCACCTGTCTTTGGGTAGATGCAATATGATATCTAATATAGTCACTGAGGATTATGGTATGGAAATTTGTGTATTGTTCTTACTAAAGGCCTGAGTTCATATTTTCATGCTATGAATAAGTGTGATAGATAATGTTTCATGTTGACACTGAAATGACGAAAATAGCTAATTGAGTCTTCAAATCCTGAAGTATAATTATACATGGGAGATAAAATCGATCCTATGTTTATAACATTTTGTATGCATAGCATAATATATTGTCTATCCTACTGAAAATATAACCAAACATATGATATTGGAATGTAAATTGTGATTAACAATATAAATATATAACTACATTTCCTTGGAATATAGAGACTCATCATCTTTTGTAAGAAGCTTAAGTGATTATAGTTGGTCCAAGCTACTAATTTCTCTGTGCCTTAGGTTCACAAATAAAACTATTGAGTTTAATTGATAACATATGCCCATAGGGTGTCACTGAAATTTAACAGTTTAAGTCTTAAAGACTTGCTGACGAATTACTAATGAATATGTCAACATCAATGATGGTGGAGCATAATGCTTCAAATAGGTCTTGCCACGAAAATGAGAAATCTTCATATAGGTAGAACAGAATAACTAAGAAAATCTGTGTTTTCTGTGAGTACTTTCCTATGGCTTGGGTATTGCAAATGTTTCTGATATATTTGCATTTCAGGTCACATTCAGTTTTTTTTTTTTTAGCATAATTCAGTTGCCATGGTTGAAGTGGTATGGTTACTCACAAAGGTTTTTGCATAGAGTTGAATGTTTTCATGAAAATCTTGCCTTGAAAGCCTTCTTCTAAATTCATTAGTTGTAAAGTAGTATATAACTGGGTCAAGGCAGGAGTTCAGACTAGCAAGACAAAGAGCCACAGAATGGAATATTAGAATTACCCTTCTAGCTAGGCAGCTTTTAATTTCCTTAGACTTTACCAGGAAATCTAAAGGAAAACTGAAGTGATAAGGTGCAAAACAAATTAGGAATACTCCTGTACAGGTTAGAATCATCTTCAAGGCTTTCTTTTTCTCTCCAAGATCTTGAGACACAGGGTATTTATCTTGCAGTGATAAAACTGTCTTCCAGGTACAATACAGAACAATCAGAAGCGGAGTTACAAACCCAATCAACTCTCCCACAGTCATCATGGCAACAGACTGGGTCAGACTGACATTTCTGGTAGGTAGATCCACAAAGCATTTGGTTCTGTTGCCAGGAATGTCCTCACTGTTTCTGAGGAGAGGGAAGAGTAGACAGGCGAGGCAGATAATCAGCCAGCCAGAAATACTGATGTATAGGTCATATTTCTGTTTGCAGTCATGGAAACGTAAAGGATACATGAGAAACCAAAATCGTCGCACACTGATACAGACCAAAAAGTAGATGCTTGCATACATGTTAACATACTTCAGGTAGAAACAAAACATGCAGAAGCCGGGTCCAAATGGCCAGTCATGATTCAAGTAGTAAAAGATTCTCATTGGCAGAGAGAGAACTTGTAGCAAGTCAGCAATGGCTAAGTTTATCATAAATATCACAGCCCGTTTGGTTTCTTTCATATAACCATAAAATATCCACAAGGCTAGTATGTTCCCTATAAGACCTGGCACAAGGATAACAGTGTATGTGACTGCATAGATAAAGTACCGAAAATCTATATCATCTCTATCTGGTCCAGTACATGTGTCATTAGCAGGCATGATCCTCTTTAGATAAAACTATCTTTGCCTTATGGTGGTTCAGAACCTTAATTCATGATCAACTGCTGCCTCTTCTAAAAGATGGATTGTCAGTGAGTTGGAGATACTGAATATAAGATAACTTTCTTTTTGCTGCACCTGTCCGAGCCTCTACGTATGATTTGGGACTTCTAGAAGAACTATCTGCAAGTTACTTTGGATTTGTCTACAGTAACTACATAGTATTCTAGCATGCAAGCACAGATGACAAGTTGCTATAATCCTACTTGTTTATTTATTAGAAGGCCTTCTGGGACATTACGACAGATGATTCTTTGCCATTTGGATCATGTCATAGAGCAACTCCTCAAATTCCTATGTGATGACAGTTATCTCTTCACAGATGTTTGGCAGACTGTTTTTTATTTTGTTTTGTTTTGGGTTTGAGGGGGTTGGGTTGGCCCATATAGAAGAAACGTTTGCTTTAGTGTGCAGTGGTCCACCACTCTTCAGGAAGTTGAGTAGTTTGTTTTCGTGTACAGTGGATCCACCAGTCTTCAGGGACTTGGAAAGTTTTCCAGGACTTTTTCAGTTATGTTTTAAACGCTAAAAGTGGGAAGCAAAGGCAGAGCTACAAGTACAAGAAAATAAGTTATTTATTGTCTGGCATACTTTCAAACAAAGACAAAGCCTACACAAAGAAAAATACATTTGCATAGTCATTGTGTCAAAACCCCATGTTTGCATTAATGTATACAGCTATCATTTAATAAAAAAAAAAGAAAAAAGAACACACACACAAAAATACATTACATTGAATGAAAAATTTTGATATGAGTGAGGATAATGAGATAGTTTCTATACGCCACTTTATAATCATAGAAAAGCATAGCCAGAAAGAACTTGAGAAGTAATACAGCCTCTTGTTACTCAAAATCCATGAACCAACATCTCTCGGGAGCTAGTTAATAATTCAGAAGAATCCCAGGCCTTATCCTTGACCTATTGAATCAGTATCTGCATTTTAAAAGTTACTTCATAAGAATCTTCTGTATATTAAAATTTGAGAAACTCCAATCTAGACCATTGCTTCACAAACCTCATAGATTCTAAGATTCATCTATAGAAGTTAAAAAAAAATACAGCTTTCTGGGTAGAAATTCTGATTGAGTATGTATGGCATAGGGTCTGAAATTTGTATTTTTAAACATTTTCCATAGGATTCTTACATACCCAGCTGAGCATTGTCCCAAACCATCATTTGTTTTACCCAAATCCTTTCCAGATGTCTGACAATAAGTGAGCAACCAGCCTCTCTTTAAATACTTCTATTTTGGTGGGTCATTTAGCCACCTCTTTATTATCTAAGACAACAGACCATAGCATAAAAACAGTGAATTAAAATCCCCAGAAAGTTGACTCATCTGGCTCTATAACCCTTATTCTGAGGTAAACAAATTTATTTACTTTAGTTGCCTCAATATTGCTGAAAAATAGGACTTAACTAAGTTTAAATACATGTGGGAAGAACAAAAACTAAATAGGAACTGTGAAGCATACTGCTTTGAATTATCAAATCCTTATGGTTTAACATGTGCTTTGTTCAGCCCTAGAAGAAATTTGTTATTATTATTAATTTTCCTCAATTTACTGGTAAGTAAAGTAGAACATTTTGTTCAAAAATATGGTGCTCATTTTATTTCTACATCTTAGTCTTGATGACAAGTATGAATCATGCCTTCAGGTTAAAGTTAAATACTTGGCTTGGTGCCCATAGCAAAGGTTACAGCACCAGCCACATATACTGAAGTTGGTGGGTTCAAACCTGGCCAGGACCAGCTAATGGCAACGATAGCTACAACAACAACAACAAAAAAAAAAAATAGCTGGGCATTGTGACAGACACCTGTAGTCCCAGCTACTTGGGAGGCTGAGGCAAAAGAATCATTTAAGCCCAAGAGTTGATGGTTGCTGTGAGCTGTGATGTCAAGGCACTCTATCGATGATGACATAGGGGGATTCTGTCTCAAAAAAAAAAGTGAAATACTTGCAATTTCTGAGGTCAAGAAGATGAAGAAATACAGTGTTATGAAACACAATGAAACACAATTATAAAGACTAAAATCAATATTGAAACAATTTTGAAAATTTTGGTTAATAAGCTCTCAAACTTAAATACCTCTTTGAAATATTTTCACAGTGATTTTGATTACATAACACACAAAATTAGATGGAAGACAATAGATATATTAAAGGGTTCTCATCATCACTAATCATCAGGGAAATATAAATCAAAACCACAATGAGATACTATCTTCCACCTGCTAAGATGGCTATTATCTATAGACAAGAGATAACAAATGTTTGCAAAGAGTTGGAGAAAAAGGAACCCTTATGTACTGTTGTTGGAAATATAAGTTATTATAGCCATTATAATAAAACAGTAAAACAGTATGAAATTTCTCCCAAAAATCAAAACAAGAACTACCATATGATCCAACAATATCACTCCAGGGTAAATATCCAAAGGAAATAAAATCAGTGTCTCAAAGACATACATTGTACCTGCAACCCCAGGTTCATTGCAACATTGTTCATAATATCCAAGATAGGGAAATAACCTATATGTTCACTGAAGATTGTATGGATAAAGAAAATTAAGTGTATATATGTACAATGGAATATCATTCAGCCACATAAAAGAATAGCTTGCCATTTGTAGCAACATGCGTGAATCTGGAGCAAAACATACTAAGTGAAATATGCCAGTCACAAAAAGATAATATCACATGATCTCAGTTAAATGTGGAATCTAAAATAATTTAACACAGAGAAGCAGAGAAGAGAATGGTGATTGTCAGAGGTTGAAGAAAGCAAGACTTGGAGAGATAGATGTTGGCCAAAGGATACAAACCTTTAGTTACAGATGAATAAGGTCCAATGTCAAGGCTGGGGACCAGCCAGGTCTCAGGCCTGGCTTAACTAGGTTCCAAACCTGGACCGCGAAGCCACCTTGCTCAATAACAATTTCTCTTAGGTGCCTGAGGGCTATCTACTTAAGCAGGAGAGAGAGAGTCTTTGAGAGAGTAAAGCAGTCTTAGAATAGATAGATCTTAGTATTTAGTAGAGCTTGGTAATCTCCAGCAGAGAGATACCCTGCTGGCATGAGGAGAAGAGACAGAGTCAGAGTAAGAGGGTCTGTGATAGAATGTGCATGCTCACGACTGCCTTCTCCTCCAGCTTAATATAAGGCTGATCTCGTGCCTCTCAACACTACAGGTGTAGAGACTGCCAATTCACCAATGCTCTCATCTCGCAAGCTCTCATGCTTGTTATAATGGATATCATTATTTTCTGCAACTTTTTTGTTTATAAACATCTCACTAAATAAGAGAAACCTACACTAATTTACGTTCCCTCTTACTTACTTTGTTCTTTATCCCTTTTTCTCCCATTTCATTCTATGTAATACTATCATCATTTTCTTTTCTAAGATAAGCTCTTTTAAAAGCATCAATGGCTCCTTATTTTTCACAAATCACAAGGCACATAGTTTGGCAGTCAATGGATTCTTTAATACTGTGCCATCTTTTTTTTGTTTTTTTAAGAGACAGAGTCTCACTTTGTCACCCTCAGTAGAGTGCTGTGGCATCACAGCTTACAGCAACCTCAGAAACCTCCAGCTCTTGGGCTTAGGTGATTCTCTTGTCTCAGCCTCCCAAGTACCTGGGACTACAAGTGCCTGCCACAATGCCCAGCTATTTTTTGTTGCAGTTTGACTGGGGCCACATTTGAACCCGCCACCCTCAGTATATGGGGCCAGTGCTCTACTCACTGAGGCACAGGCACCACTCTCTTCTTTTTTTTTAAAAACCAAAGTTTTTTTTGAGTAAATTGTAAACACATAGATCATGTATACATTAATGCATTTATGGGGTACAATATGATGATTTAATATAGAACTAGGAATGCTTACATCACATCTCTTTTACTTAATTATTGTGTTAACACATTTATACTCTATACTAATAGTCCAGACATGTACCCTTGCATTATGCACCATAGGTGTGATCCCACCATTCACCTTCCCTCAATCTGACCTCCTATCTCCCCCTTCTACCTCCATCATCTTGGGCAAAAGTTGTGATCTATTCTTCATATGAAAGTGTGAGTGATTGTAAATTGGTTTCATAATAGTACTGAGTAAATTGGATATTGTTTCTTCCATTCTTGAAACACTTTACTAAGTAAGATATGTTCCACCTTTATCCATGTAAATGCAAAAGAGGTAAAGTCTCCATCTTTTTTAAGGCTGCATAATTTTCCATGGTATACATATACCAAAATATTGATTCATTCACGGGTCTATGGGCACTTGGGATATTATGAATTGAGCTGCAATGAACAATCTGGTGCAAATATCTTTGTAATAAAATTATTTTTGGTCTTTTGGATTTGCACCTAGTAGAGGAATTGCAGGGTAAAATGACATGTCTACTTTTAGATCCCCAAGTATTCTACATACTTCTTTCCAAAAGGGACTTATTAGTTTTCACTTCCACCAGCAGTGCAGAAGTGTTTCCATTTCTCCACATCCATACAACATCTGTCATTTTGGGATTTTGCTACTTGAGCCACTCTTACTAAAGTTACATGATATCTCCACAACTCTCTGGCACAACTCTGTGATGATTAAAGATGATGAGCATTTTTTCATGTGTCTGTAGGCCATGAGCCTATCTTCTTCAGAGAAGTTTCTGTTCAAGTCCCCTGCCCACTATGAAATGGGATTACTTGTTCTTTTCCTATTAATAAGTTTGAGTTCTCTGTGGATTCTGGCTATCCATCCTTTGTCAGAAGCATAACCTGCAAATATCCTCTCCCATTCTGAGGGCTGTCTGATTGTTTTACTTACTGTGTTCTTGGCTGTGCAGAAGATTTTTAGTTTCGTTGGATCCCAGTAATGTATTTTTGGTGTTGCTTCAGTTGCCCAGGGGGTATTCTTCATAAAGTATTCCCCCAGGCCAATTTCTTCAAGTGTTTCTCTTGCAC